TGAGGAAGAATCTGAAAAAGCACTGTGTGACTCAGATTTTGCTATCGAAACACTGGAAATTGAAACTCAAGGAGAGGAGATCAAAGTGGATATTCCTCTTGAAGCAGCCACTCCAGCCAGTATTGAATTATTCACTGAAAATGTAGAGGAGTCTGCTTTAATTCAGCCAGTATATACTGGTGACTTTGAGAAGGAAGAAGCAGAAATTATTAACCCTGAAATAGAATTATCAACATCTGACAGTGCACTTATAGAAGAAAGGGACATCAAAGGAATTTTAGAAGAATCTCCATCTGATGCAGAAGATTTCTTTTCTAGAATTACACAGTCCATGGTAGAAGCTGTAGCTGACATGGACAAGCATGAAACTGTTTCAGAAATAATGCCACCTGTTTGTGTTTTGACCTTGGTACCAGGAAATTCCACTGGGGATGAGAGGGCAGTGAACAAAAAGGCTATTTCTGAAAAAACTAACATGGAGGAAAAGGAGGAGAACGAATTTGATGTTAAGGAAACAAGCATGCATCTCGAAATAGAAACAGAGAAGGTGGAAAAGAATGAAGCTGGGATGGTTGCAGAAAAGGTGGAAAAGATTATGGCAATAGTGAAAGAAAAGCCTGCAGAAAACACTGTGATCGAGGAGGCATACCCAAATAAAGGACTGGATCAGGCCAATAAGCCTGATGAAACCAGTAAAACTAGTATGCTGGCTGTATCAAATGTATCTAGCAGTAAAGCAGGCATCAAGGCTGCTGTGGTCTCTTCTAAAGCAAAAGCTATAGCTTCGAAAACTGAAAATCAAAAAAGTTTTCTAAAATCTGTGCTTAGAGATCAAATAAATGCTGAAAAGAAACTTTCAGCCAAGGAATTTGGTCTGCTTAAACCTGCAAGTGCCAGATCAGGCGTGGCTGAAAGCAGCAGTAAATTCAAACCCACCCAGGGCGGTGTTACAAGAGGAGGCAGTGGAAGGATCTCAGCCCTGCAAGGCAAGGATTCTAAACTGGATTACAGGGATATAACAAAACAGTCTCAGGAAACAGAGGCTAGACCTTCCATCATGAAACGGGAGGACAGCAACAATAAGGTGAGAAGGGTAGGAAGATGACTCAGTGTGTCTTTGAAGTGATTAGCTCGCTGCTGTAGCTATGGAGTAGGAGATGTAATCTCATTTCATACCCTCATCTCCTCACATCAGTCCTGTGCTTCCCATTTCCCTTTCTTAAATGATTTCATTGATTTAAGCCAATGGACGTTAAGAATATTAAGCTCAAGTTCATAATTTATTAATAGGTTTGAAAAGCATTATTTGAATAAAATTTGGTCATTATGGGTTTTTTTTAAGTCTGCAATGAATCTCCTGATTATTAGCACTCTGCTTCTGTTTTCCTTTTTTATATTGAAGATTTATTTATCATGTCACTGATTGACCAACTTTGACATTCTGGGTGTAGAGAAGAAAATGTCAGTACAACTGAATTTAACTACAACTCTTAGAGATGATGTTTATACTATTAAGTGACTATTGTTCTGTTTGATATACTTGTTAAGTATTTGTTTATTTTTACTCTAAGTTTGTTTAATATTCATTAATAACCTGGTTGTAATGAAGATTCTGTTTTTCTTATTTAATATTTCAGACTGTGCCTGGGCAAAACACTAAGAATCCTAAAAGCACCACTTGTCGAAGTTTCAAATCTAAAAAGGTAAAAAAAATTATCCACTACACTAGCACTTCTTTTCTATTTTTTGATAGCAGAGTTCATCTATCTTATAAATCATGTCTGCCTTAGAGTGAGGGATCTAGAGTGAGGGATAGCAATGAGATATTTTATTTTTTACCTGATCACTAACCCTACCACCAATTCTTATTTTTTTTTTTTTTCCTGATCACTAACCCTCCCCCCAATTCTTTTTTTTTTTTTTTGGGAGAGGTTTTTGCTATAGAGTGTGTACGTTCGCCAGACAGACAGAGACAGACAGACAGAAAGTGAGAAATCACCACCCAGGGGAATGGCCATGCCACAGTCCCTTTTCCTCCATTCTCCTCTTGGGATCTTGTGCATGCACACACACACACAGGCCCAGCATGAGTTCAAACCACCAGGTCTGGGACTTGAACCACAGTCGACTACATGGGAGTCCAGCGACATAGCCATTATGCCAACTGCTGGTCCTCACCAGTTCAGTTTTTAAAAGCAGTTATATTAGGTATTAAATTCAGTAATAACTTTATATAGGTAATAATTTTCTTAAAATGTAAACTTTATACTTTTGTATTATAAATACTTTAGTATTATATATTTTAAAATAAATATTATATATATAAATTGGTCAATGAAAAATTTAGTTAGCTATTTACTGTATAGCTATACTTGAATTGCTTTTAGAAATCCAGAAGCCTAGAATACTTCTTATATATTAAATATATCATAGTAAATTTTTTTCATTGTCAGAGCGTGTGTACACTCCAGAGAGAGAGAAAGCATCCCTAAGTGGGTGATCATACTTATGCTTCAGGCCCTTATGATCATGCTTCAGTCCCTTAACCTCTTTTTCCGTCTTGTCAGGATTTGGGGTACACACATGCACTCACCATGTTTTTCAGGTTGCTGTAGCCAGGGGTCAAACACGTAGGATCTGACTCCCTTAACCACTATGCTACAAGACTGGCTTAAACATTTTTATTTATTTATTTTTTTTAATTTGCCACAGGGCGTGTACACTTACCAAAGACAGAAGGAAAATGAGAAAGCACCCATAGGGTATGGCCATGCCCAATCCCCTGTCCATTATTCCTTTTGGGATTTTGGGTGCTCACATATGTGCTAGGTGTGTTTTTCAAGCCACTGAACCTGAGAATCAAACCATCCAGTCAGCCTTATGGGATCTAGTGAACAGCCTTAACCATCATACCATTGTTTGGCCCATAAGTTTTTTATATTATAATTGTTTGACATGCTTTAAATGCATTTTTGTACATCATATTTCAAAACTCATCATTTAGAAAGTAATTGTAATTTTACTGAAATTAAGTAAAGGTGGAATTAGATTGATACTGTTAGAATTTTACCTTCAGCATTTACTCTGTGAATTATAGCTAATGCATTTGTATGTCTTTAAAAAATAGCTCTAATTATAACCTTTAGGAAATATCTTGGCACTGACATTTTCACAAATGATCTAATGCATATTTACCATGACTATTTGGAACCTAGCTCTAGTGTTGTTAGTATGTGTTCACAGCACTATGATTTTTAACTTTCCAGCAGGAACCATTATTTCCATTTAATTTGGATGAATTTGTTACCGTGGATGAAGTTATAGAAGAAGTGCATCCTTCTCAAGCTAAGCAGAATCCACTAAAGGGAAAAAGGAAAGAAGTTCTCAAAAGTGCTCCGCCATCTGATCTTAACTTAAAAAAGAAGAAGGGGAAAACTTCTATTCCTCGTGGTGTTGAGGGAGAATTATCTTTTGTAACATTGGATGAGATTGGGGAAGAGGAAGATGCAGCTGCACATCTAGCACAAGCTCTAGTCACTGTGGATGAAGTAATTGATGAAGAAGAATTAAATATGGAAGAAATGGTAAAAAATTCTCACTCACTTCTTACATTAGATGAATTAATTGACCAAGATGATTGTATTTCCCACAGTGAACCTAAAGATGTTACTGTTCTGTCAGTGGTTGAAGAACAAGACCTTCTCAAACAGGAACGCTTGGTGACTGTGGATGAAATTGGAGAGGTAGAAGAGCTACCTTTAAATGAATCAGCAGACATAACTTTTGCCACTTTAAATACTAAAGGGGATGAAGGAAATACTGTAAGGGATTCCATTGGGTTCATTTCTTCTCAGATGCCTGAAGACCCTTCTGCATTAGTTACTGTAGATGAAATACAGGATGACAGCAGTGATTTGCATTTATTGACTTTGGATGAAGTAACTGAAGAGGATGAAGATTCACTGGCAGATTTTAACAACCTTAAAGAAGAGCTTAATTTCGTTACTGTTGATGAAGTTGGAGAGGAGGAAGAAGGAGATAGTGATTTAAAAATAGAGTTAACCCAAAGCAAAAATGACCATCCCACAGATAAAAAAGGGGAAAGAAAGAAAAGAGCTTTGGACACAAAGAAGACAAAATTTGAAGCCTTATCCCAAGTGGGTCCAGTAAGTGAGAATGTTATGGATGATGATCTGAAAACCGTGATTGAAAGACACTTACCAGGTAGATACTTAGAAATGTTTTGTGTTTTATGAGGGAATTAACTAAAAATTCATTTAAAAATATATCTTGCAGCATTACCACTAATTTTATCCTATACTACTAGAGGTGAACAGTTTCAGCCAGTGACATGTTTTTCAAAGAAATGTATACAAGAGTATACAGAGCAGAGCAGAGCTTACTTGAATGATATACTTCAAGAAAGGATGACAAAATCAGAAAACAAACAAGGGTAGCTGAATTAGAATTGCAATAGAATATGGTGAATTTGTATTATGGGGAAAAAACAACTTTTGATAAACAGAAGAATATTTACACCAGACTACCTCCTAGTTTTTATCTAAACTTAAGGTTTATAACAATTCAAAATAGTTTACTATTTTACTAAAGTAAGATTTGGATAGTATGGAACAATATGGGGAAATAAAAATAATGTCTATTTTAAAAATCTTGAAATTTAACCAACTAAGAATAAAATGCTAGGGAAGTCCTCAAGCTTATAGAATAAATTAGAAAAATATGTCTAGGCACCTTGGGAAAAAAGAAAATAGAGAGGTGTAATTATTTGGAATTTGGAACACAATAAATAGAAACATGAAAAATTATTTAAACTGGGTTTTTTTTTTAAATATTTATTTCACATTAGGATTAGGTTTTCTGCTAACATTTGGGTATTGCTTACAAAAAAAGTAAGGTGTTGACATTGTTGTTTAAACAATTTAATGTTCAAAGTAGTTTAGATATTGTTATTAGAGCAATAAACTGCTTTCTTTTTAAAGCTAAAGCACCAACCAAGAGAGTTAGAATTGGGAAAGGATCACCAACAGAAAAGGCTGTTAAAACAGAACCAGTAAAAGATGAAGAGGCCTTCCAAATTAGTGAAGGTAAAGCAGGATTGTTGGAGTGGGGAAGAGAATTAACCAACACATGAAAGTAGTTAAAGTTTCAAAGATCTACCCTCTAAGAAGAAAAGTAGAAAAGCAGTGAAATAGAGCCAGGGGTGTTTCCCCTGCTCTAAAGACACACATACAATTACTAGATCTGGATAAGAGTTTCATCTTTGTAACTTAGATCATGGAACATCATTATTAGAACGTGACAAAATTATGAGACCAGCATATGGTGTAATGGTTGCATTGCTGGATTCCCATGTAGTCTTACCACGATTTGAGTCCTGGACCCAGCAGCTTAAAACATGACGGCACATGTACGTGCATGCCCAAAATCCCGAGAGGAGAAGGGATTGTGGTGTGGCCATCCCGTTGGGGCATTCCTAAGGGGTGATTTCTTGCTTTCTGACTCTCTGTATCTCCGATGAGTGCACATACCCTATAGTGAAAATATCTCTCATTTAAAAAAAAAAAAAAATACTGTGACAAATTAACTAGCTGTTATTTGTGGACCAGATCCCTTGTCTTATGGATACTTCCAAGCAGCCAGCCAGTGTGTTAATATGTCTTAATCGCATTAATCAAATTTAAGTTGAAACAAGTAACAGTGTCTGGCAAGGGAAAATGCTTTAGTCATTCAAGAAATATTTGTCATTGTATTCACTGTTTTGGACATTGTTCATAGCAAAATGCTAAAAAGGGTAGAAAAAAGCAGCACACCATTCTTGATCTGAAAAGATGCATTGATTTGTGAGAAGTAAAGCAGAAAATCTACTACCTATATGACTTAAGTAGCACTATGAATGAGGGTATCCCTTTTACCGTTCTCTTTGTAGCATCCTTCTTTGCCTTCTTGCTTTGTATTCTGTCTTCTCTAAGGAAAAACTATAAACCATGATTCAGTCCAAGTTGACTGAATATGATCTCTGCTGGACCCTCGGTGCTTTTCTATGATCTAGTAAAAAATCTTTCCTGTATTCTAATCAGGTGTAAGCTAGCCTTTTACCTTGTGCTTCACCTAGTCCATTTTTCCCTGGATGACCTTGCTATCATTTATATTTTACCAGAGCAAATGTAGGATCTCCCCTGTTTGCCAGCCTGTATTTTACCTAGGTTGGCTGCTTATATATAAAATTTGGTAAGTCTTTTTAATTAAAAAATAAAAATAAAACCATTTCATCTTTTTCCTTTCAGTATGAATGAAGTATCTAGAAAGAACCACCTGTTTTTACTTATTCATTTCCCATTGAACTGAATGTATTTGGGTTTCTTTCTCTACTACCTTCCTAAAATTGATGTTGATGAACCCTCCCACTGGATTTTGTCATACTTGATTTTTTAAAAAACTTTATTTTCCTCTTAATTCAGTCTTAATTTCCTGCATCATTTGATAGCATTGATCATGCCCTTGAAGTTCTTTCTCATGGTCAAGTGGGTATTCTTTCTTTTCTATTCTCCATGACCAGCCTTTAATACCAAGCTGATATTAATGCTTTAGTAATCTAAATAGTAGATCTAGCATGATTTCATGAGTTTGTTTGGTATTTTTCTGTATTTATTTATTGGTATGTAATATACTTTTCCTAGTGGACAGTGTTTGACAAAAGGACCTAGTTCAAGAAAAAAAATACTGCCACACAATTTTAAACTTCAGTGATTTGTTTTAATCTCTTTTCATTATTGTATAACTTTCATATATAATACATATTGTTAAGATTGATATATCTTTTATTTTTTGGAAAGGTTTTTGCTACAGGGTGCATGTGCTTGCCAGAGAGACAGAGAGAAACAGAGAGACAGAAAGCAAGAAATCAACCCCTAGGGGGATGGCCATGCTACAATCCCTTCTCCTCCATTTTCTTCTTGGGATCTTGGGCATGCATACACACACGCCCGGCATGAGTTCAAGCCACCAGATCCAGGACTTGAACCGTGGTCGACTACATGGGAGTTCAGCGACATAGCCATTACGCTAACTGCTGGTCCTAATGGATTTATATCTTTGAGGAAGTAAACTGTTTTAGGAAAAGCCAGAGACAGGGACACCAAGCTATTTAAACCACCTAATCAAGACAAAGGAGATCGACTTTTTGCCTTTTTTTTTTTTAATGGATTATAGGACTCGAGGAACAGTAAAATAGGAGGAATAAGAGAATAGTAAATAATGACTTCAGAGTTCCTAGCCATCCCTCCAGATTTGGTAAAGAGTAACCTGGGTGTATGGAGGGAGTATCAAAGTTACAGGTCTTGGTTCCAACCTCTCTCGCTATTTAATACAAATAGGTTTACCGTTTATTCCTTATCTCAGAATCTTGGAAATATTGTGTGAAAAGTAGTCTAGTGGTATTAACCAAAAAAGGTCTTAGCATTTTAAGGTAGTCTTTGAAGACAAGGGTTATCAAGTGTTAACTTCACAAAGTCTGTAAGTCTTTAAATTGCTTTTTTTTTTTTCCTTGAAAATTTTAATGACTGTAGTTGATGAAGAATCTGGATTAAAGGATTCAGAACCAGAGCGAAAACGCAAGAAAATTGATGACTCTTCTTTAGGCAAATCAGTGGTACCTGATGTCTCTGAAGGTAAAGTAAAGATGACATTTTCCCCCTTATATTTGTGGCATAGAAATTCAACACCATAGTAAGTATTCTCTCATTTAAATGAATAATTAAGTATCCTTGCTTAGATTGTTTTTTTAAGCGTGAAAATTAGCTATTAGGTCACTGGAAAACAGAAAAATATGTCATGACTTTTCTGACGCCTAGTGGTTTTACACATTGGCATTTCCAAAGTTGATTTACAACTGTTTTTACCTAGCAAAGATATTTTTATTGTACTTGTATTAAAGTCTGGATATATCTCCTTTTAACCTGGTGTTTTCTTTGCTGCTCTAGTAAGAATTGAATTATATTTGCCCAGGCAGAAACTTGAAATAAGCAGAACATGCTGTGAAGATTAGATAGCAAACTATTCATAGCCAGCTAAGATGAGCTGAATGCGACCTTATTTACATACTCTTCAAGCAGACAGTTGCCCATCATTCTGCCTCTTCTCACTTTTTGAACACAGGATTCCTAATGAGTTTATTTCAGTTTGTCAGATTCTTATCCAATTAATTGCTATTTTGAAAGATAACAGTTTTTGTATCTGAAAATTCTCCATGGGAATCTATTCCAACTTGCTGTGTACCAGTGCAGTGGCATTCAGGCATTCTGGCTGTGAGACGTTATGGAACTTACTTAAAAATAAAGACCTAGGGCAGCAGGTAGCATAGTGATTAAGGTGCTGAATTCCCACATGGCCGAATGCAGTTTGAGTTCTGGACGTGGCAGCTTGAAACTCACTCTGGGTGCCTATGGCGTGTGTGCCACATGTCCAAAATCCTGAAAGGAGAAGGGATTGCAGCAAGGCCATCCCTCCTTCTCCCCTTGGGGTTGATTTCTCATTTTATGTCTGTCTCCATCTCTCCAGTAAGCACATGCACCCTATAGCAAAAATCTCTCAAAAAATAAAGACCTATGTTTTACAATTAAAGTTACTGTTGTTCACCCCTAAATATATATCATATACTATGTATAGTATATACTAAGGTATAATTATATATACTGTGCTTAGTATGTTTGGCATATTTGGGTAAATTGATTAATACACTGTAAATAAATAAATCCTTGTTAATTTTTCTCCGTTCTCTTCCCTCTGTCTTCCTGTTCTCTAGAATTGGACTTTCTTGTACCAAAAGCTGGATTCTTCTGTCCTATATGTTCCCTCTTCTACTCAGATGAAAAGGCAATGACAAATCACTGCAAGAGTACACGTCATAAGCAAAATACAGAGGTAAATTTTTAAATTTAAATAATAAGATCTTCAGGTGCTGTTACTATCTTGTAACCAAACTATTTAAGTATCTACCCAAAATATATATACTTTTACCTTTGGGGAAACTTCAGAATGTCTATGCCAGTTTATTCCTTTTATTTTTTCCTTCCTTATACGCTGCTGTTAATTTCTTGTACTTACTCCTTTTCCTTGAATAGCATCATTTACCTAAGCAGATTCTGCAGATTACTAGTCTTGTAAGAAAAGCGTGAGAAATGGCACGTTCTCATGCTCTCTTACAGAGTCTTGTACTTATTAGTATATTTAAGTTTCTGAGTTGTATCTAGCTGGAAAGCATCCTGCTTAACTTTATGTAACCTATTTCCTAAACTGAAGTAGTCCCAAAGCCCTGGTTTTTTTTTAGTTGTATACACCTTTTCAAAGGGCTACTCTAAGGAATCATTAGCCACAGTTGACTCAATGTTTTTGATTCCTTCTGAATATTTGACAGTTGTTTTATACAATATATCCTTTCTCCGAATTTTTTGGCACAGATACTCCTCTTAACATTTATTGAGCTGTTATACACTGTAAGCTTGTTTCATTTCCTAATCAACTTTATGAAAGACAGAGAAATAGTCTTACGGAGGTTAATTGTCTATACCCAAGCTAGTTAGTAGCAGATGTAGGATTTGAACCAGCTCTGTTTTACTCTAGTTCCAACTTCTTATACCTTGTGTTATGCTACTTGTGCTCTTAATATATTGGGTCATCAGACAAGTCATGATGCATTTTTGCATAGAAAAATGCATCATGACTTAAGACCGATAGCTTGCCGTATTATTTTTCCATTTAAAATCTTCCAGCAGCTTCTATTACAAGTAGAATAGTATCCAAACTTACTGTGGGTCTGTAAAGCCCTGCATGCTCTGATTCTTTTCTGCTTCTCTGAGCTCAGTTTTTAATTGCTTACTATCTTCCACTTTCATACACGAAAGACCCCTCACTGCCTTTGCATCTTTGTATTGCTGTTCCTTTGCTCCTTTCCAGTCCCACTTGCATGGTCAGTTCTTCTTCATCTTTTGGTCTGGTCTCAAATATTAGCTCCTAGGAAAGGTCTTTGCTTAATAAAGGAGGTAGAACACTCCAGCTCAGTACAAAGTTACTTTGTTGTATTTCCTTTAGAGTACTTGATCACTTTCCCAAAATTATCCTGTTTAATTGTTCTTTGTTGTTTCTCTTCCCCCATTAGAATGTAAGCTCCATGGTATAAAAGTTCTTACCTGTCTGTTGGCCACGGATTCCCTAAGCACCAAGCACACTGCCTGCTCTATCATAAATTTCAGATGACAGATGAATGAAAGGGAGAAATTTAATGTAGGACACTGTGTAGAATAGGCTCTTTTAAATAATGAATACAGTGAAACACATTAAGTAGATGTGCACACACAGCAAAACAATATCTAATAATTATTTTATATTGTAAATTGCTTTTGACAGAAGTTCATGGCCAAGCAGAGAAAGGAAAAGGAGCAGAATGAAGCCGAAGAAAGAAGCTCTAGGTGATTGAAGGCAAAGGGAAAGAATTCATTAGAAATTCATTTAGGGTCCAGTTTATTTGTGTGTTTTTGTTATCATTTAATTTGTAATTTTCAGAAGCAAATATTCATGTTGTACAAATTCTGATTGCCCTTGATGTAGAGAGAGACTGATGGGGAAAGTATGATGGGTTTGGTTTTTATATCAAATCATCAGGCATGGAGAAATATCTTTTAGAAGTGTTAAAATAAATGTTCCTACTGTATATTTAAAATATCATCTTGTGTTTATGGCTGATTTATTAAAGACTTGCTTGCTTCTGATTGTAGACAAGGTTCTTCTCTACCACATTTATGATTGTGATTTGAGGATTGTTCATATATTACTAGAAGTCATAGCATGACAGGATTTTACTATGCTTGAGCCGTCCATCCCAGTACAGGTCAAAGGCTTTTTTTCCCTGTCTTTTTCTTTTTTTAAATTGCTGAAGAGTGCATGCTGTCGTCAGAGAGAGAGAAGCACATGCAAAAGCACTCAACAGTGAGATGAGGTTATTCCACCATCCTTTTCTCTCCATTAGTCAAGATTTGAGGCATGCATGTGTGCTTGGCATGTTTTTCAAGCCATCAGGGTTGGGATTTGAATCACAGTCAGCCATGTGCAATACAGCTCCCTGTATACAGGGCTTAACCACTGTGCTATGGGGCCAGCTCTCAAAGCATTCTTTAAACTCATTTTTCTGGATACAACTATAATATAACATGCTTGACCCAGTTAGTTTTGAATAAACAAACCACAAACCTTCCCTTGAGTTTTAAATGTGTTGGAAAGATAGATAGCTATTTCGTTTCTTTTTTTTTTCTAGTAACACCTGCCGTTTCTGCCAGAACCCATTTAAGTATATCTAGCAAGTCTACTTAGTATTAGTTTGAATCTGTAGAACAGCCTTTACTTCCTGTAGATGACCAGAATTGCTTGCTTGCTTTTTTTTTTTTTTTTTTTTTTTTTTTTTTTTTTTGTTTTTTTCATTGGGCTTATCGCCCCCCTCAGATAAATGTTTTTTTTTTTTTTTTTTTTTTTTTTTTTTTTTTTTTTGAGATTTTTGCATAGGGCTCATGCGCTCCCTGGATAGAAACAAAGAAATCACACCCTAAGGGGATGGCCACACCACAATCCCTTCTCCTCCATTCTCCTTTTGGGATTTTGGGCATACACGCACATGTCCCTGGCATGAATTTTAAACCACCAGGTCTAGGACTTGAATTGTGGTCCGACCACATGGGAGTCCAGTAATGTAACCATTACGCCATGTGCTAGTCCACAGAGGTGCTTTTTAACCCATTTGGACTATTATTGAATATGTTTGTGAGAAGTTGTAAAGGTAACAAAAAAAGAAAAAAAAATCAGTGGATTGTTAGTGTGTGCTGGCACAGTCATACTATAAATTTCTAAATTAGGCCATACTTCAGAAATAAGTCTGCTGACTTTGAATTGTTTTCGTATCTGATTCCTCAGCTCTTACAAGACGAGAGTGCACCAATTAAAAATATGAAGAGGGTGCACAGAGGGAAGCAAACATAAAACCTACTCTTTTAGTTTTTTATCCCTATCATAGCACAGGAGTTACTTCAGTCAGTAAGAAGTGAAGAATAAAAAGCACAGCTCTCTGTTACCACTTGCCAAATTTACTGCAGACTCCTTCAGATGTAACCTCAGCCTGAATAATATTACAAAATACTTCTTACCTCACACTAAGGAACAGGGTGAGACAGGGTTGGCTTGTGAGTGCCAAGAGTTCATTAAAACCATATAGGTGAGTAAGGTAGTAAGTGGGAGAAGTGCTATTAAAAAGTTGGAGAATTTCTGTCTCTGGCCACTGCAGTGAGAAGAGCCGCCAGATCCTGTGCACCTGTAGTGGATGGTCATTTGGAACTGCTTCAGCTTTTTGATTGAAAGGAACAAGCAAACCTACAGAATTGAGCCCAACAATCTGAAGGCTTTCTGCTATAACAGGCTGATCCACTGCAAGACTGTGGGCGTGGAACTGGTGGCAGATGGGTGGTGGTCATGAAGCAGCAGTACAGTCAACAGAAGCCAGCATCTACGTGCAGACCACCACCAATGAGAATTCCCAGGGCCACCCTCAGTAGCATCCGACACATGATCCTCAAGGACAAGTACTGCCCCAGACCTGTGTATGGCTGCCGTCTGAAGAGCCAGCGCCATCCTGTGCAGCCAGAAGCCAGTTATGGTGAAGAGTATGTGGACCTACCCCACCAAGAGCTCCTGAGCCCTGCTGGCCCCCCAAGCAATAAATATCAGCCTCTCTGCCAAGAAGAAAAAGTTGGAGAATAAGGTGTCAGCAAGCTAAAGTAGCATCTGAGTAAGACTTTACTTTTTAAAAAAGCATCCTTTTCTTCTGACTTGCTCTAAAATTTTTGCAGCCAGAGAAATTAAAGCTGCTTTCATCTTATTTTAATCAACCTTGGAATTTAATTTTAAAGACCTAAGTTTGAAGCTTTTCTTTCTTTAAAAGTTGTTGCCTAGAAAAAAGGTTCTTTTTTGAAATTGGAATTCCAAATTAGAATAAATGGAAGTGCAAAAGCAGTAAAATGGAAGTCAGCTTTGTGTTTCATCCTAGTGACTAATGTTGACAGTCAACAATATACATTGTAAGTATTTCTCTGGTGCTTTCTGTACTTAATAAGCTGTTCATTTTTATCACAGGAGCTCTAACTACAAAAGATTTTGTGATGTTGTCTAGAAATATGTTTGCTTATATTAAAAGTAAGACTTTTTTTTTTTAAATAGAGATTTTACACTTTACTTGCTGAAGCGACAGAGACACACAAAACGAGAAATCACCCTCCAGCGGAGATGGCCACACCATAGTCCCTTCTCCTCCATTCTCCTCTTGGGAGTTTGGGCACACACGTGTGCCTAGTGTTAGTTTTAAGCCTGGGTCTGGACTCAAACTGCAGTGGACTACATGGGAGTCCAGGAATGTACCATTATGCCATCTGCTAGTCCATAGGTTGTTCTTGATATTTTCAGAAAACCTTAAAATACCTCACTCTTTAGTCATATGACAACACATAATGGAAGTACAGAGCAGTTTCTGAATACCATTTGGTTCAGGTATTTAATTTGGATTGCAGTGTGTGTGTTGTGTGTGTGAATGAATGTGGCTTTTTTGTTGTTGTTTTTAGGAATTATTTATTTAATTTTATTTGTTATTCTTTATTTTTAAAATTTTGACCAGAGAGGAAAAAGAAAATGTGAAAGCAAGCCACCAGGTCTAGGACTCAAACCACAGTTGGCCATGTGGGAGTCCAGCACCTTAACCACCTTAACGACCTGCCAGTCGTACATGTGTTGTTTTTTAGAGAGGCTCTCGTTGTGTTATGATTCTCCTGCCTCACCCTCCCAAGTAACTGAGATTACAGGTGCACACTACCGCACGTAGCACCTTCAGATAGGTTCTCCCTGTGTTGTGCTCTCTAGCTGTGAGTACAAGATCCCCTTGTCTCAGCCTCTTGCCCAGCTGGGACTGCAGGAATGTGCCACCTTGCCCAGCTTTTTAGGGTGGTAAAGGAATCAACCCCAAATCAACTCTGACTGGCCTCAACTTCCCAAGCAGATGTGTCCAGCACATGTTACAATGACTGGGCCTGGATCACAGCTTATTTTAAGTTTTTTATCAGTTTATCATCTAGACAGCAAAGCAAAGAAAGATTGCATTAGTTTTCAAATTCCATCATTTTCAAAGATGAGTCTGTGGGAATGGGGGAAAAAGAGGAAGAAGACACATGGCCTCACTGGAATCATGAGCATGCCAGACATTTGTTTGCTGTTTTCCTAAAGGGCTTCTGGTGGGCAATCATGGACCTGAGCTACCATGTGAACCCCAGGGGAGGGAACACTGTGCCCATCACAGGCTGGCCCATCACTCAGCTGAACCTGCACTGGGGCTTCAGCATTGATTGCTAAGGAAGAACTAGACCAGCTTTTCTCGGTCTTTTCTGAAGCATAGTGTATGGGTTTAAGCCAAAGCCACCATGCTCATTTGCGTATATCCTTTCTGAATGTTCAGAACACACCAGTAACTCCCAGACCTTAAGTATTACATAGCCATAGGTGTTCTTGCTCATATATACACACACATATATTTTTAAAGAGCTGTATATTTTGTGCAGCTAGGCATAAAAAACTCCTTTCAAAAAAAAAGAGATTGCATTAACCAAGAGTGTTGGCACATGCCTGTAGTACCAGCTACTTGGGAGGCTGAGGCAGGAGCATTGCAAAATGGTAAGACCCCCACGTTTGCTGTTTTGTTTTGTTTTGTTTTTTGTTTTGTTTTGTTTTGTTGGAGAGGTTTTTGCTATAGGGTGCGTGCACTCGCCAGAGAGAGAGACAAAGTGAGAAATCACCCCCCAGGGGGTATGGCCATGCTACAATCCCTTCTCCTCCATTCTCTTCTCAGGATTTTGGGCACTCACACACACACGTCTAGCATGACTTTAAGTCACCAGCTCTGGGGCTCAAACCGCAGTCAACTACATGGGGTCCAGCGACATAACCATTACGCCATCTGCTGGTCCCAAGACCCTATCTTAAAAAAAAATTGTATTCAACATGACTATGACTTGTGTAAAAGTTTTAAATTTTTAGTATCCTTTCTAGCACCTATTGCTATGGGAACTTGCCTCTTCAAAACTGTTCTCTTTAATCCTTTTTCAAAGAAAATTCATGGGAAGTCATGTTTTTAAAACCTAAAATTTTTAATATTTGTTGAAAATACATATTAAAAAATCATAATAGGATCATTTGTCCTATTTATCATTTTATCATTGTCCTTTCATTTATCACCACCTAATTTCAATAATTATCAACTCAAAGCCAATCCTACACACCCACACACATGTGTATGTACATGTAACTGAGATAGATACCTGGGATCTTCCCAAAGTTCATGAACAATATGCATTATGAAAAAACTATACGTAGATTTCAGCAGTTTTTGTACTACTAAGATAAACGTACTTCCATTTTTTCATGAAATCCCCATATGTATCCTCATTCCCTATATTCTTATACTTATTTTAAAGAATTACTTTACTTTATTATTACTTTTAAATTTGACCATAGGCGGAGGGAGAAAGTAAAAAAGCAGGCCACCAGGTCCAGGACTTGAAACATGGTTGGCCATGTAGGAGTCCAGTGCCTTTAACCACCTTGCCACCTGCCAGTCTCCCCGTGTATTATTTTAAAGTAAATCCCATCATGTTATTTTATTCGTAAGTTCTCATATTTCTACTAGATAGTCTT